CTGTTCTTTAATTTTTCCCTTCTTCTGGCAATTCTGCACATGCACACACTGGGAACAGGCTCCAGCTATTCTTCTGCCCCACTGATGTCTGACTCTGAAGGCAGCTGATAACTGTTGGGCAGCCCTGGCCCCCTCTCTGCCTCCAACACAGAGCCCTCATCCGAGCCTTCCCCAGACTCCAGGACTGGCCCAGGTTCCTCCCCAACCTCCTCACTGTCCGAATCCGCTGCCGGTTCCGCTGGTGGGCCACAACAAACCTCTTATGAAAAAAACACCCTTCCTTCAAAATAATACTTTACTTGATTACATCGTAAGCGAGTCATTTGTAAGTAAAATCCCTCCCAAATTATCCCATCATATGGGGAAATGCTCTGTATCTCTTCTGTTACAGCGTCAAAATAAAGTGAGGGGTGTATAGTGTTGTTGCTGTGTTTTTTTGCACTGGAGGTCACATTCACACTTTTGACGGCGTGACTTGGGGTCGGACGCTACAAAGGAACGGAGGAAAGTAGGGCAAAAACTTAAATTAGGCTCCCAATTTACATTTAATTAAAAGCCGGGTGCATTTGGGTAAGGCTGCAGAGCATGGGGGGGGGGGGGGAGTAATTTGCCCGAGCTGCTTTGATCTTGCGAGGAGGATCCTCGTGGGTGGAACATCGGGGGGAATTGGGTGAGGATTGTTTCCTAGCCCACCCCCCTGCCCTGCTGGGGTTCCATAGGGGAGGGGGTGCTGCTGTTGAACAGGGGATTTCCACTGGGGGACGTGAAGGGAACCTTTTCATCCAAGGTCTGTGACTCACGGGGTCGGTTGGGAAAAGCAAAAGCATAGATAGTGGACGATGGGTGTGGCTGGTAAACCTAAATAAACAGGGACTTTGGGCCATTTAGACTCCTTTCAGCTCCTTTCAACTTCATTAAACTCATTAGAAATATTTTTTGACCTCTGTTTGGTCATAAGCATCCTTTAGAAGCTGAGTTGAAAGGCCTCCTCCTTTTCTTCTTCTCCTTCATCTTTTCTTCATCTTCCTCCTCCTTTTCTTCTTTCCTCTTCCTCCTCTCCTCCTCCTCCTCCTCTTTTCTTCTTTTTCTTCTCTTCTTCTACTTCTTCTTGTCTTCCTTTTCTTCTCCTCTTTTTTCTTCCTCCTCCTTTCTTCTCTTTTTCTTCTCTCCTCCTCTTCTACTTCTTGTCCTCCTTTTCTTCTCTTCTTTCCTCCTCCTCCTCTTCTTCTTGTCCTCCTTTTGTTCTTTTTTCTTCTTGTCCTTCTTTTGTTCTTTTTTCTTCTTCTGCTCCTCCTTTTCTTCTTCTTTTTCTTGTCCTCCTCCTTTTCTTCTCCTTTTCTCCATCTCCTCCTCCTTTTCTTCTTGTCTTCCCCCTCCTCCCTGATGCGAATTCCATGACAGCATTGTTTCTGTGATGACATCATGGCATCAGGGATGACCTCATAGCTTCTCCTGGGCCTCTAAGACAGACGATCCAAGGACCCTCTTGCTTTTCTGGCTCTCCTGCTGGTATCACAACAAGGATACGGAATCCTGACCAGGCCCTGCAGCTGTAGGGAGAGGTGGGATCTGGTTGGCCAAACAGGCATCAACAGCAGAAGCTTATAAACAGGACCCCAAGGACGCACATCTTCCTCCAGCTTCTGTTAGCCAGCCAATGGCCTTAAGAGCCACTCTCTTAGATACAAGGCAAGGTGGTTGGGTGCTCACCTGTGCTAAGTCATAATTTATCTTGTCTGACTTTCATGGATATGTTGTATCATCCCAAACAATTATGATTATACTTATAGTTTGGTGCATTATGCTTTCTATGTGTCCTTTATTCAACCAACTGTGGTTAAAGCAAACCCAACTTGATTCCTTCCAGATGTATTGAGGCCATACCAATATTTTGTCTGGGGAATTCTGGGAGTTGGAGTCCAAATATCCTAAAGTTGCTGAGGTTGGGAAATGCTGGATGATAGAGTTGAACACCAAGAGGTGCTAGAGAGGTCTTGGAAACTCCTTAGCATCTTCTACCTTCACAAACACAATTTCAGGGCTGCTAAACTAACCCCAAGGAGGGGGATGTAGGAGAACCAAGCTGGAAGTCTTCAGAGTAGCCTAGTTATATTTTTTACAGCATTTAAAAAAAAATCATATCCCTATCTCAAGAGGTTGCTAGGTTTATTTACTGTTTTCACGCGGTCTCGATTGCACTGATTTAAACTCGTAAATACAAAATCAATAGTGTCATAGTATTATCTGCCATTAAAGAACGTGAAGCCAATAAATCTTGCAGGGTGATTAGAGATTTGAGATCTTTAAAAGAAAATTAAGACTAAGGAAGTTTAGTAACAGTAGCACAGAGAAGGAATTATAAGTGATCTTCGTTATCTTGAAAACAAAAAAATTGCAGCCGTTTTCAAGAACTGCTTGGCAACGTGGATGAAAAGCTGCCAATGAATATGGACCGGCCTGGTGGGCTTAAATTTGCAGATAGGTCACTTGAGCTACATTAGTTGATGTCTTTGGAGATTCCCCGCCATCCAGGGCCTGGTTGCCGCATTCTCATCTGGCACCAAATGGTAACATTTTGGAAACTGCCCAGTTTGGGTTTTGAACAGCTGTTTAGAGAACTTTACTAATATATGTTGGTTTGTCTGTTTTGGTCTTCAGGATATGCTGACGACTCGGACTTTGATTTAGAAGATGCACTGGATGACTCTGTCCCAACGAAGAGACGTAAGTATGAGCCCAGTTGCTCCACGGGTGGCTCTTGTGGGCAGAGTGGGTATTGGCTGTGGATTAGGAACCGGAGGGGTTGGCACGATGCTCAGCAGGGAGGAAATGAGCTTGGCGATGGAAAGCAGACTGTCCCGGTTCGAGACCAGAGCCGTGCCACAGGAGTGAGCTCCCGTCCCTTGCTCCAGCTCCTGCCATCCTAGCTGTTTGAAAGCACGCAAATGCGAGTAGATAAATAGGTACCACTTCAGTGGGAAGGTCACAGCACTCTGGGATCTCATGCTGGTCACATGACCGCAGAAATGTCTTCAGACAGCGCTGGTTCAGTGGCCTTGAAACGGAGATGAGCACCAACCCCTAAAATCGGCTAAAACCTTTTTATAGGGTTTGTCAGCAGGCATCCTTCCCACAATTATAGTTTTTAAAAAAAACAAAAGGCAAAAGTCAAGCTGAAAAAGAAGTCTTTAGATATGAAGAACGGATGCAGGAACTGGGTATGTCTAGTTTAATGAAAAGAAGGACCAGGGGAGACATGATAACAGTCTTCCAATATCTCAGGGGTTGCCATAAAGAAGAGGGAG